AGCCTCCCGAGGGCGGGGTCCTCTTCCCCACCTGGCGCCCCAATGGGGTGGGTGACTCAGAAGCCCCGTAGCGCCCGGCGCCTGACTTCCCAGAGTCGGGGTGCTGCGGACTGGACCCCTGAATCTGAGGGAGGAGTGGCCGGGACCCCGGGGTCCCCCACTAGGCTGCGGAGAATGCAAGTTGTGGGCAGGAGGCAGGTTTATTCTGGGCAGAGGTAAAAGGGAACCCTAACAACTAACCCCTCGGCACCCATAAAACTGTCCCAGCACCTGCCCAGCCCATCACCAGGGCCCTGAGCCGCTCCCAGCAGGCGTGTCCCCACCGATCTGAGTCCCTCCTCACTCAGCTCAACCCCCTGGATTGAGGTCTCTCCTCCCGAGCCCAGCTCAGTTGCCCAGGCTTCTGAGCAGGTGGGCCCCAGGGACACCCCGCCCCCCAGGGTCCCCACACACAGCCCAGCCTGGGGCCCTCCGCCAGGCCTCCCCTCAGAGAAGTCCTCACATGGCCCGGGGCGGGATGTGCAATGTTCTGGGATCCCAGCTCCTCCAGACGTTCTGCCCATTTTGTAGACTGGGACACTGAGGTCTAGGGTGGGCGTGGGACTTGCCCAAGTTCTAGGATCCTTGTGGGGAAAATCCCTCCTGCTTCCCAGACTCTGAGGCCCGGCTCCCAGCACACTGTCGTCCAGCCCTCCTGGGCTGGGCCAGCCCAGGGTGGCTCTGGCTTCTGTCAGGGTCGCCCCCTGAGTCCTGCCTGGGTGGCCCAGCCTGGCTGCCGGCCACTCCTGGGTTCCAGGGCTGTGGGTGCAGCATCGTCTCCAAACCTCCTTCGGGTCGGGGAGAGGTAGTGGAGGCGGCCGGCAGGGATGAGGGGCAGGGGGCCGCCCCAGGGCTGGGGCCTGGCGAGTGGATGGGAGTCCACCTCACCCCTGGAGGCCCCCCCAGTGCCCCGCTGCCTCATCAGGGCCTTGGCTGGGGTGTCCTTGGAGCCCCAGGACTTCTTGAGCTGTGGAGGGAGAGAGGAGGAGGTGAGCGGAGGCTCCTGGGGGCTGAGTCCAGGGAGGGAGGAGGCGAGGGAGGTGAAAGCTGGAGGAGGTGAGGGAGACAGAGGATAAAAGGGGATGAAGATGAGCAGGAGAGAGAAAGACACAGAAGAGGGAGGTGAGGGAAGGAGGGCGTGACACGGAGGGGAGGGGAGAAGGCCCCTGAGCTCCAGAACCAGAGGGAGGTGAGCAGGGAGGCCTGGGACCCCCGGAGCTCCCAAGGGGCCGGGAGGTGTGTCCCCCCCACCCTGCAGTTTGCAGCTGGGGAGGAACAGGAAGCAGCCAGCAGCCGCCCAGGTGGGGGCAGCAAATATTTGCCAAGGGAGTGATTCTGGATGAGGGCGGCCCAGGACCGGGTGGAGGTGAGGACCTTGGCCTGGCCCTGCCCATCCCCCTTCTCCCCCGGAACCGAGGGAGGCAATTCCTGGGCTCCTTCTCCCTCACCCTCAGGACTGGCCTCTAGCTCCCACTTAGCAGGCGGGGAAACTGAGGCTTAGAGGGGGTACAGCTCACAGAGATCCTGGCCCCCAGGTCAGCTTGTTTCTCCCACATGGCTCTGCTCTGACCTTCTCAACAGCCTCCTTGACAGCCAGGGACATGGAGGCCCTGCCCAGGGTCCCCCAGAGAATTGGGGCAGGCCCTGTTGAACCCCAAGTGTCTAAGCAGGGGGAGATGGGTCCCCTCTGAGCTCATGACACTGGAATCTGGGAAGCCAGGGCATAGAGAATGTCAAAGCCCCACCCAGGAGGCAACCAGGGCTGAGTCCCAAGCCTCCCCGGTGCCTCAGTTTTCCCATCTGTGAAATGGATAGATGATGGATGGAAAGATGTAATAACATCCGCCTCTGAGGACTGTGGCAAAGGTTAAATGTAACTACTTCTGTGAAAGCGCTTGGCCTGGGGCCTGGCACATCGGAAGGTGCCCAGGAAAGACCACTGTTTCAACCTGGGCAAGTTGCCTAACCTCTCTGGACCTCAGCTTTCCCCTCCGCAACACTGCGCACGGTGAGCATCTTGCCGCGCTGACCTGGGATGAGGATGTTGTGAAATCAATTCCATTTGGGGAATTTCTAGTGAAAGAGCGAATGTGACTATTTCATTCTGTTGACTCCTTCTCCCAACCAAACTGAGGAGGAAGCTACCGCTCAGCCCATTTCCTAGATGAGAACACGGAGGTTCAGAGACGGCAAGTCCCGCCCCGCCCCACCCTCGCCCCGGTTCTCACGGCTGGTATATCATGGCAGGATTCACACCCCAGGCTCTTGGGGGGTCTCTGTTCCTTGCCGCCCGGCACTCCCCTGCCCAGCACACAGTGTGGGTTCAGGAAACGCCGTGTCATTAGAATCTCAGGCGAGCAGCTTGGCTTCCCGACCTCCCGGGGGCCAGGCACATAGTAGGTCCTCAGAAAACAGAGTAAGGGCCCTTGAGCCCAACTGGATGACCTTGAACCAGCACGCCCCTTCTTCCCCTTTCCTGGCCTTAGCCGCCTCCACCCCCCACCAGCTGTTGTCATCCTCAGGGGGCCACCGGTCTCACCTCGTCACCATCACTGGAGTCGGACAGCTGGGACAGGCGGCTCAGGTCCCACAGGGACCGGCTGGGCCGGGCTGGAGG